AACGGTTTAATACACAACACAGTAAATAGTCTATATGATGATAGATCAGTATCGACATTTGGGTCCTTAAAATGTAAATCTGTGAATGAAGTTCGGTGCCTGTTTTGGTCGTCTGCAGCTGGCGGCTTGTTTGAAGTTAGAGGCCTCTCTTTTCAAACTGACCATGGAATATTGCTGAACTTCGTCCATAAATTGAGGTAGAAGAAGGTCAGGCAGATGCGATCAAAAACGCTGGTTTTGCGCAGTATATAAGTAAAACGAGCTTGTGCTGTTTTCCAGAAGACCACTCTCTACCTGCTATCACCGACCTTCTAGTTTTGAGCAATGTAAGCCAATCAGCGATATTGTCACAAGGCAAGAAAGCAGCTAGTAAGGCAGCCTCAGTGAAACAGGGTTTATAAAACAATGGAAATGAACGAAAGGCGCATTCTCTGAAATGCAGTCAAACTACAGGCATAGCAAAAAACAAAATGGTATATCGTCAGTGCTGTAGCTCAATGTAGGAAAAACGAAGGGGACCAAAATCGTATTCATCGAGTAAAGACCTCACAGAAATAAACATCACTTTCAGAACTTTGGCAAAGCAAAGCTGATGGTGCTCTGGAAACTTTACCTCGACGTGTGTTTTAGGTTTTCATCATTTTCAAAGTGGCAAAACACGGCTTATTCGTTTTTTGCGAACAACAAGCAGATGATCAGTCAGTCATAGTTTTTGCCGAGGTCAGAAACACGAACAAAGTACTCAGTAGACGTTGGAGCGTTCCGCTCGAAAGAAAGCGCGAGTTGAATGGCGTTGTAGCACATGAAAGAGAAAATCCGTGGCACAAACCTGCGACCATCTTCGCTCGAAGACGCTTTCGTTCAGAGACGACAGGAAACGACTATCGAAAGACAACGGCGATGACTGCATTGACGACGATGACGACGCCTCGAGGACCAAAACAAGATCACCTGAAAAACAACATCCGGTGAGTGAAACGGGCAGACAGGAGGAAACACGGTCGCGGTGCAGACGCCATGACCTCGCGGAGGGCGGCAGACAACGACAAATGAAAAACAGGCAGTGCCGAACGTCCGAGTGTCGAACAGGTACGTAACAATGAACGATCGGTAACTCGGTTATCACTGGATTTTCCCGCCCACGCGGTGACTTCGGATCTGCAATATAGCGACGAGACCTCATACTTACTTTAGGAGTACTGAAAAACGTATTTGTCGCGATTGTTGCATCAAACCTTACTTACCATAAAACGGACATGTGCTGCGGTAACCCGAAGAGGTAGACGTCTTCCGCCACCTGCTAAGGGGAGGAGACTGGAGCGAAGATTCGTCAGCGGCTCCGCCGCGACACACCC